CAGAAGTGCAACGGGTGAATTTAGAGAGCATTTGAGGACGACACACACACACTCAGTTAGAGAGAATCATTTATAGGTGGAAGTTTAATCATGTTTTGCTTGGGGTTGCAAAAGAGCAGTTTGTCGCAGAACTGCTGCTGAGGTGTCAAGATGACAAGAGAGCATCCGGCAGTGACAGGATGTACCGGCCATGAAGATAAAAGACAACATTCTTTTAAACTGTGTTAAAAGTCATTGTGGTTTTGATTTGACGTATGTATGTATTCTGTCTATGACGTATGAAGGGGCGTCATTAATTCAAACCCTGATGCTATAAAAATCTGTATATGCTTTGATTAAGTCGAAGATTAATTCCTGTCTTCCCACGCGTGTATTCATTAAAATCAATTGTTTGACCAAGATCTTCTGGACCTGGTTGTTTGTACTCTCCTTCCTCAATTATGTGAACCTTAACAGAACCATAAACTAACACTTGCAGAGAGACACAGGGAAATCCACGCAGCATGAGGGGGAACACGACACAGAACTGAGGGAGACGCAGACATAAATACACAGAGGGTTAACGAGGGAAGTGGGAGCACATGGGGAACACAGGTGACACTAATAATCATAACGAGACAGGGCGGGGTGAACATAACATGACGTATACAGGTGCGGGAATCACAAAGTAAAATAGGAAAACGCGAAAAACCTTTCCGTAGTCAGGAGCGAGCCATGGCTCCTCCCGTAGCTCTTCCTCCAGTTGCGCGCATGCGGCGCGCTGCTGCTCCTCGAGGTCAACGTCCATGCCCCCCACAGCTTCCTTGTGTTGCTCAGTGGAGGGCGAAACAGGCCGTGGCGGTGCGCGACGGCGGCGGGAACGCCGCTTTCTCTTTGGAGCGGCCGTGGGCAAAGCCTGGCCTTCCGTGGCGACCGGCTCCTTGCCCTCCGACCACATCCGTACCAGGCAGGAAGCAGGAGACGAGGGTGGGCGGTTGGTCTGAGGTGGGGCAGCTGACGAGAGCTCCTCCTCGGAACTGAGCCAGGGCTTCCGACGGAGCTCGTCCTCCCGATACGCCCGTAACACCTGCTGCCGCTCCTCTTCACTGAAGTCACTTGCCTCTGGCATCTCCGTGCTCCGCGTAGTGTAGTCAGGCGGTGGCGAAGATGTGGAAGCGAAACGTGAACAGACAGTGTAACGGTGGTGAGCCTCATAGTTCCGATTCTGACCGTTTCCGGCTCTTCATGCTGGAACAGCTGCCCCGGGCGGATGCCCACAGTGGAAACGAGAAAGTCCCGGATGTGGGGGCGCAGCGCGCCGAACAGCCACGGGAGTCCGGACCAGGGTTTTAATAGTTTTGCAATTTTCATTAGTTTTTATTTTTATTTAGTTTTGACTTCAGATTTTCAATTTTATATCAGTTTTAATTAGTTTTTACCAGTTGTTTGCTAGTTTAGTTTAGATTTTTTGAAAATCCTTAGTTTCAGTTTAGTTTTGATTAGTTTCAGTTATAGTTTGTGTTTGCAATAATTAAGTGTAACAAAATCCCAGTTTCATCATATCAGTCATTCTCTTCTGCTTATCCTTGGGTATGTTGCTATTCCAGCTACCATACCCTGCACCCTGGACAGGTCGCCTGTCTCTCGCAGGGCTAACACGCAGAGACAGACAACTCACATTCCCACCTATGGGTTCTTTAAATAAATAAATAAATAAATAAATAAAGGCAGATGAACAACCATTGATACCAGGCAACTATAAAATGTATATCTTGGCCCCAATGAGACTATTAACTCTTGCAGCACCGGGTGTTCGTAATTTTGGTTCAAGTGAATTGATAAACTTTTTGAAGGCAATTGACTCACACAGTTATGTAGATGTCCCCGTCCTGTTGTCTCGGGATGCATCACGCTGCCTTGCCTGGGTTAGCTTCTGTTTCTGGGGATGAGGGTTGAGTGTGCTCCCTTACCTTCTCAAGGTAAGCTAGGTTAGCCTTCTTGTGTGAGCTTTTCAAGTGCACTTTAAGGTTTGTGGGATTTTTTTCCCTTTAGAAATGTTCCTCATAATTTGTCTCTTTCCACTACAAGACACTTGCTTTATCCAAAGCACAGTCATATTCAAAGTAATCCCAAATTGGACTCTGGCGCTTTCTCCTGACATGATTCTGCGCGTGGACGGAGCAACACAGACGACTCGACTAACGTACTGGCCACCTGCTGGCATAATGAGACAGCAAGAAAAAAATCTGGAAACTAAATTTCATTTTCACCCTTGACTCTTGTATGACACGCACACATCAATGAAACTAAACACATTTTTGCTATAAATTCAGTTAATTTTAGTTAGTTTTGTGAACACTCATTACAGTTTTAGTTAGTTTTCCTTTTTTTATTTTTATTTCAGTTAACGAAAATGTTTTTTCACTTCTAGTTTTCGTTATTTCATTAGTTTTCGTTAACGATAATAACCTTGGTCCGGACACCATCCGCTGTAGACGAACGGCTACGGTCTCCCGGTATTCGCCTCCTGGCAGCGTCGCCCACTCCTGACAGTGATATTCCACCGTGTAGATCAGATCTTCCCGGAGGTCCGCGGAGGGGTTGTGAGCTGCTGGGTCCATGTCGTGGTCGCGTTCTTCTGTCATGGCTCGCTGTGTGGCAGGCAGGATGAGGACCCAAAATGCAAACTCACGGACTCAGGGGATAAACCCAAAATCACAGCTTTAATGCTGGAAGGCAGATCACAGGAAATACAAAACTTAAACTGGGAACCATAAACTAACACTCGCAGAGAGACACAGGGAAATCCACGCAGCATGAGGGGGAACACGACACAGAACTGAGGGAGACGCAGACATAAATACACAGAGGGTTAACGAGGGAAGTGGGAGCACACGGGGAACACAGGTGACACTGATAATCATAACGAGACAGGGCGGGGTGAACATAACATGACGTATACAGGTGCGGGAATCACAAAATAAAATAGGAAGTACACGGGGGTTCAGACAGGAGGGGAGAGAGAGAGCACAGGAAGAACATAGACATAATGGGCAGGGGAAACATGGAACAAACACAAAGAGAGACGAGGGCTCATAAATACACAGAGGGGCACACAGGGGTTAAGAGTCACGAAGGGAAAACACTTAGGGAACAACAAAACAGGACAACTCAGGAAACATGGCCTAAATAAGGAACGAAATACAAGAAACTAAGAATACTGGGCCAACATGGCCCAGGACCATGACACTTTCAAGTACAAAGTTGTTATGAAGTCTGTCACATTCCCCCTCTTTTTTTCTTTTTTTCTCCTTTATTTATTTATCCTTCTTATTTCATTGTACTGTATATTGTTACTCTTATTTCCCTTGTATGTCTACTGTACAAACCGAACTGGAATGACTGACTGTTCGCTTTATAAGTTCAATAAAGTTTGGGGAAAAAAAAAAACCTCTTCGGCCGCTCCCTTCTGCCGTATTTTGCGGCAAAATTATCCACACCCACCGCCGCGCTATGAATTGTGGGATATATGGGACCACGAAGTGTGCACCGGACCACGTTTGATATTTGGAGAAATCGACGGCGCATTTGGAGTATGCATTTGAAGTACACTTCGAATTGGGACAGCCGTCGTCGCGTGGCGGTGACGTACCCGCACTTGAAATGCATACTTCAAGCGTGCAGACCCTGAATTGGGACACAGCCATAGTCTCTCTTCCACAGCATGTCTTTATCCTGTCTTCCTTGTCTCACCCCAACCAATCACAGCAGATGGCCCCGCCCCTCCCTGAGCCTGGTTCTGTTCGAGGTTTCTTCCTGTTAAAAGGGAGTTTTTCCTTCCCACTGTCGCCAAAGTGCTTGCTCATAGGGGGTCATATGATTGTTGGGTTTTTCTCTGTATCTATGAAGCGCCTTGAGGTGACTTTTGTTGTGATTTTGTTGTGTGTGTTTTGCTTTACCAACATCTGTATTCGTCTGTACAACTGTGACAGTGTCAGACATCCTCAGCACAAAGTGATGCTCAAGTAATTCTGTGGAATGTAGACAACAGCTGAAGAAAGTTTAGTATAAAAGACCAACAGGTTGAAAGATAAAAGGGGAAGAACTAGTTATAACAATAATGTTGGATGCTGTTAACTCTGACGTCATTCATCGGTGGTCAATTTTGTTATTTGAGTAAACGAATCTAATTGAAACTACAATGTTGATATTTGTAATATCTTCTGTCTATAAGTTCATTTAACAATAACACTACTTGTTACACAAAGTACATAAAATTTGATACAAGAAAGAAAATGTTATGTAAAATGTTGCTCTGAAGTATTTTATTGCGCTAATTTAACATCAATCTTGTTGGATTTACTGGAGCTAAATAGCTGAACTCTGTAAAATGTAACCAGTGAACGTTTGTCATGTTCACATAACAATTTTTTAATGTTTTAGATGGAAATATGGTGGCATAATAAAACCCATTCAGTGAAGTAGAACAGATTATTTTTGAGTATGTTGCAGCTGTTGATGGTTCCTTTTACATGCTTCTGTTTGTTTAATGAATAAACTGTTAAATCCTCAGACTTCAATCTTTCAATCCAATAAACGACACCAAACAAGAGCCAGTAGCAGAAAAATAGAACAGAATAGAAAAGACCTTTATTGTCATTGTACATGTATAAAGAAAAATGTGCCTTTTTATGTATGTTCTGTTTTGGCAGATTTGGCAAGTTAGTTTTTCATAGGCACAACCGACATCCTCACCTCTGCTGCTCAACTCACGAATGCATTCTCCCTTCAGTGACGCGCCATTTAAGGGGAAATTAACAGGCTAAGAAGCATCTCCCAACAAAGACGTCACTGACCAAACAAATGTCCTAATTTATTGTGCAAAGTTTTCACACACAGGATATAATATATATATAATATATATGAATAAATGCCTTTGCATTTCAAATTCTGTAATATCAATGTTTTAGTCGTTTTTAAATACAAGAGCAGCAGAAAATGTTCAATAAAGACAAAGAAGCTGTGAACCAAATAGCATTTTAATGAAATCATTAGTGGTTAAGCAAAGTAACATTACAAAGGAAACAAAAGCAAGCAAACGGTTAAGTGTAAAGAACATTTGTTCCATTGGCACAGGCTTCAGTGCAGCTGCATGTTGTTACTGCTCTCACAGACATGGCATTGTTTCCCCCTTTTGGTGGTTTGAGCATCAAATCACCAAAGGTCTCAGCTGCACATCGACAATGCTAAAATATTTCAGCCGTCCTTACATATAAATGTCATTTGTTGCAAGCTGTGCAAACATCACAATTGTTTGACATGTAAATGTGGAAGAAGCGCAGGCAGCAGCGCACTGGCTGTGATTCACATTATATACAAAGATGAAAAGCAAATGGTGATGACTCTGGGAACTAAGCTTTGACAAACACTGCAGAAACCTTTGGGAACAGTTACATGAAGCTCTCTTAGAATCATTTGTCATGTATTTGTAGCCTTCTGGCTTCTGGCCACGCCCCCTGCCCTTACCACAGAACACCTGTAGAAATATATGATGAATGAGCTACAGAGATGCAGTCAGAGCAGAACATTCAAATGCAAATCAACATAAATTCTTGACTTTTAAAAAGAGCTGTTGGTTTTATTGGTGAACACACGTGTAGAGGAAAATATGATGAAATGACCAGACACTAGGGGTCAGTGTCAGTCTGCAGCAGTCACATAAAAGCTCCAGAGAGCACACAGTGATTGTAAAAGCTGAGGATGCGTTGGTCCTTGTGGCAGCTTCTTTACCCAACTCATATCAGACGGTCTTTTGAACAAAAAAAAAAACAATAAAAAATGACAGAAGACTTTTTTCAACACAGGAGAAGATCACTCAAAGAAATGTAATGGACCTAACTACCTTCATTTTCATAACGGTTGTTCTTTGGGAGAAATGGCCGTACAATGTTCTGTAAAAACAACAAAGACACAGCGAGTCTACTACAGTCTGTCAGCAGTAAGAACATTAGCCTGATATAAAATGTGATCACATACAAATACACAAATACTCAACAATAACTTGGTAACAGACATCATTGTGCTTCTAAGTAAAGAGTAAATTAAGCAGAATACTATAACATTAGTAAGTAGAGACGGTGGAAGGAATAGCATAGCATGTGTGATACTTGATATTTCTGGATAAGCGTGAATATTTACTCTGTGAATTTATCATTTATCAGTCGGGAATCTGCAGCCAAACAAACATTTCTCCAGCTGTGAGTCAGACAAAGGAAAAAGGGACACTTTCTAAGAATAATTCAGCCCTGCTCACAACAAACTTTCATCTTCTCCCCTTTATCCTGGTCTTTGCTCATGATCATCTCCACCTTTGGAAATCTGAGAGGAATGTCACATATTCCTTTGGATAGTGATTCTTAAGCCATAATGTGTAATCAAATAAAGGAAAAAATATAACTTGTTGTAGTCTTAATAACAGCGCAGCCTTTAGCACGTGGTCCATAAAAAGGACCTTTTGGGGGAGGGGCCTCTGTAGATGATCACCTTATAGAGCTGAAAAGCCAAATGTGTTAGCACTCTTCATGGTTATAGCTCCAGGGTTTCCTCTCTGTTCTCAGGTGCTACTTTTAAAAATCCTAACACAAAGACTGACTCTGACTGTGAGTGCAGAACAATCAGGGCCAGTGGAGCTTTGAAGCAGGCAGACATGTAGGTGAGATGCAAACAGAGCCAAAGGTCAGTTAAAGACATCACCGGCCTCCTGCAAAAGCTCTGACTTAGTTTGGTTGTGTTTATAATTGTTCTGTTTTGCTGCAGAGAATGATTACAATCTGTTTGAATGCTCACTTTTTTTAGGCTGAATTATTGTCTTGGGCACCACCTGTCGGATAATCTGAGAATTACATGTTCCCAGAAAGCATTTTTGTGAACACAATGTTGTCTTAATTGGCAGGAATCATGGCCAAAATCAAAATAATAATAATAATAATGATACCCAGGTTGTAATTAGCCTCATAATTTTCTGTGGTATCTTAATCTTAATGCTAACAATGATCTTGTTAGCATCTGCTTTATATCTTTAATCGCTATCTCTGTCTCTGTCTTCGTGCTCCTGCAAAGCATCGTGGCTGTCCTCCTCTTCATCCTCATCAGCCTCTTCCTCATCACCACCTCCATTCATCATTTCCATCTCCACCTCCACCCCTCCTTCCTCAGCCTCCGCGTCCACTTCACTGAAGGGCTCGGGATCCTGTGACACCTCGACCATCTCAGTGCCTTGAACCACTTCAACAGCACCCTCGCGAATCTTTTTGACGTGGAAGGTGAAGGGGGGCACTTTGTACACGGCGGTCTTGGACCGGGCATAAACCACATGGTCTGGTGTGAAGGCTTTCTTCATCTTGTCGCTGGATGTCTTCATCTTCTGCTTGCGCTCAGGGTTGACGCTCATGCGTGTCCCGAGTTTTCCCATCTTCTTCTCAATGTTGTGGCGGGTCTTCTCCAGGTTTTCCTTGGTCTTCTGCTTGGTCTTTTCTAAATTCTCCTTGGTTCTTTGCCTTGTCTTTTCCAGGTTCTCCTTTGTCTTCTGCTTGGTCTTCTCAAGGTTCTCCTTGGTTTTTTGTCTGGTCTTCTCCAGGTTCTCTTTGGTCTTTGCTCTGGTCTTATCCATCTTCTCCTTTGAGAAAACAGTTTTCAGGTTTTGTACACGCTGCAGGCTGCTGCGCTTGATGCGTTCGGCACGAGTCTCCTCCATGGCCTCCTCGATCTCCAAACCCTCTTCGTCCGATGAGAGGTCCACGTGAGGCTTGTCTGCCTTTTCTCCTTCTTCTCCCTCTTCTCCGGGCTCTTCCACAGCTTCTTTGAGCTCGAGCAGACTGCCTCCTCTGCTTCCCGACACAGACTCGGAAACCTTCATGGATTTTGAAATGTTGAGTTTCGAGGGAACTTTCACTTCATCCTGTGGAGAAAAGAGCATAAATCATGACATTATTTCTTCTGATAGAGGTTTTGTTAACGTACTGTAGCTAAACACATTACTGACATATTATCACATTTTAAGGCTGATAGTGTGTCTTGTTACATATCACAGTCCAGAGCAGCGTTGTGGTTCTGCTGGTTGGTGTATCCAGATTCATACAGGATTAAAAGACTGATTAATGTGGTGAAGTCACAATTCAAATTTTAGCTTTAGGATAGGAGTATTGGTAAAAGGAGTGGTATGTCTCTGCTATCATGAAGTGCTTTATGTGTGTTTGTGCATTGTTCCTCTTTCTGTCGATGTGTGCAAGTACTCACAGGCTAACCAAGCCGAGCCGTGTGACTCACTTCAGGTTTTCCACACAGTGCAGCCATTAGAGGCCATCATAAACAGAGACGATTCTGAGTAAAGACATGCAGCTGTCTCAGAGGAATGAAAGGAAAACGTTTGTGTGGGATGTCAGCTGTGACAAAAGGGGCAAACAACATAATTACAGTGTGCGCACAAAGCTACTCTGACCCTTCTGCTGACATCATTAAGATGTGCTTAACACACATGCGGAGGGGAGGAGAGTGCTCCGGGACATTTAAAGTTTTGTGGTTGAACCATGTTTGTCTCTGCAGGCTGCTGCATGCTCTCATTCTCTGTCATGTCGTGTTAACCTGGAAACTCTGTATCATCGTCCTCCAGAGACGGGACCTCTCAGCAGGAGAGGTAGTGGGATTCTTATTTCTGCACTCATTTGCTTCTGAGATGAACCATTGTGGTTTTTATTACCTCGTGACTTCTAGCACACTGTCTGGAGGCGACATTCTGGAATAGCGGTCCTATCACTCTGCATCTGGTGAGCTTTGCAGTTTCCGAACTTTACTTGTTTGGAATATTTTGTATGTGTGACCTGCCTCGCCTGACCCTGGCCCGCCCTGTAAAGCATTCCTGTATAGAAACACTTCACGCTCGCCTCCATAGTCATTCATTCCCCTCTCTGTTCCATCTTCCACCCACCATATCTTCCCTTTCTCAATAACATTCCAGCCAAGGGAGCCTATCTTTCTCTTTTCTCATAAATTCAGCACTCTGGCCTGCAAATGCAGGGATGGAAGAGAGGGCGGGGGTCTTCCTCTTTCCATCACGGCAACTTTGAATCCAACTGGGCTCCAGACATGTACCTTGTGTACTGAATGTAGTACTTGCTGTATGTATTGTGTGTTTGTCTCCCCTTACACTGCCTTTATTGTCAAAACAGGAACTCGGTGGGGCCGGGACAAAGGACTAGCAGGGATGGGGGATGGTCAGGTGAGGAAAGTGGAGATGCTTTTCTGCTGTCGTATGAAACGACTAATTGCACACATGGGATGATTCTAAGAGTCGTGGAAAACCATCTGGTCCGCAGGAAGATGATAGCATCAAAGTCTTAGCTGGAAGGTAGCACTGAGAGCTAAGTGTGAGCATGTAGAGGAGGGGGGAGGTCTGCATCCATTGTGTTCTGTTCTCGTGGTTTTATTGAGGTATTGTGCTGCAGTATCTTGGGTAAACTTGACCTTAGATGAAGGATTTTGGCTTTCCTGCCGGGCGGGGGTGCTGGAAAATACCTGCCTAGTTACAATTCATTGTGTCTTATATTGAAGTCAAGGACAATGCAGTGGGTGCTGAAAATCACTTAAGAAAGGTTAAACCTCGAGCCTGGATCTCTCCACACTTAAAATACTCCCAGGTACACTTCCTTCCAATGACACCACACCATTTATTATTCCAGAAATAATTTGCATGTCCCAGTAAACAGTAGATTTGGTATTCCAGATTCCAGGATGGGCTTTTGTTTTATACAAACCAACATGCTTCTTTTGCCGTTTGCACCCATATTCATCACATACATCAACAGCACAAATAGGTGCTTAAGTAAAAAAGGGTCATTCCACATATCTTTGTAATGACATTTTTACATATTTTATCTATCAGAATCAGAATATTTTTAAATCCTCTAAAGAAATGACGTACAAATAAACATCAGGATCCTTTCAGCCGGCAGAGAAGGTATTTTGCTTTGGCTAGGACACCATCTGAGCCATCACAGGACAGCAGCACTAATTTTTACAAACAAATTCTTCTAAAGATTTTTTTTGTTCTGCAAATTCATTATAGATCTAACTGCACAGAGCGATATACAAGTAATGACAATTATCAACATGGAAGAGATATACACATCAATAAATCAATAATTATAAGCCAATGAAATCTCGTATATGATTTGAAAATCCATCCTTTCGCTTCCGCCTATCCTTCTCAGGGTCGCGGGAGCCTATCCCAGCTGTCATAGGGTGAGAGGCGGGGTACACCCTGGACAGGTCGCCAGTCTGTTACACACAGGGACAGACACCCATTCACTCCCACCTATGGGCAATTTGGATTAATCCCCCCCAAACTCCATGTCTTTGGACTGTGGGAGGAAGCTGGAGTACCCGGAGGGAACTCACGGGGAGAACATGCAAACTCCACACAGAAAGACCCCATCAGACCCCGGCCTGATGGTGGAATTGAACTCAGGACCCTCTTGTTGTGGAGCAACAGTCCCACTGTGCCACTGTGCTTCCCTGAGAAAGTGTCATTAAAAATTGTACCTTAAATATATTTGAATATACAACCTGTGCACTATTGAGCTACTTCAATAAGATTATAATGTTGACTTAAATACTTTTTTGTGATGGACGGTTCACACACCAGTTTTTTATTCTATAAAAATATTTCTGTTATCCAAAATAAATAGTTCAGAAAACTGGAAAACAGAGTTTTGGAGGATCTGGAGACTGAAGCGACTTCTTTGCTCATTGGTTGCTTTGTTTTCTGTCACATGATCACTGAAAGGCTTCTCATGGAGATGCTGCATGTTGTCTTAGACCACAGAGAATCACAGAGTCAGTTTAGTTTTAGATGAGTACAAGAAAGTGGATGCATGGATGGACTATAGAGAATATAAAAATAGTTGTGGCAATAACTTAGTGTTAGTGTTCTGCTTAAAATGAGATGTCAATGATTGTCTTGTCTTTAAGGAGCCCAAAGTCAGTCTATCAGTTTGGTAAAGATGTGTGTGTGTGTGTGTGTGTGTGTGTGCGTGCGTGTGTGTGTGTGTGTGTGTGTGTGTGTGTGCGTGCGTGCGTGTGTGCATGCGTGCGTGTGTGTGTGTGTGTGTGTGTGTGTGTGTGTGTGTGTCTAAAGTACATGGAAAGAGCGCAGGAGGAAGTTCAGGCAGTCACCTTGGTGTGTTGACTTCCTGACTCTGCTAATTTAATGGGACATTGTTCTCCGTGAGGATGCTGTGCCAAAGACAGGAAAGCACACTCAGAGTCACGGAAAATAGACCAATGAGGTACGTAAGGATTGGCAACCTCTCAGTGTGTGTGTGTGTGTGTGTGTGTGTGTGTGTGTGTGTGTGTGTGAGTGTGTGTGTGTGTGTGTGTGTGAGTGTGTGTGAGAGTGTGAGAGTGTGTGTGTGTGTGTGTGTGTGTGAGAGTGTGTGTGTGTGTGAGTGTGTGTGAGAGTGTGTGTGTGTGAGTGTGTGTGTGAGTGTGAGTGTGTGTGTGAGTGTGTGTGTGTGTGTGAGTGTGAGTGTGTGTGTGTGAGTGTGTGTTCCTGTCTAGCTATCTTGGTGAGGACCAAAATCTGCATTCTACTATACTTGTGTCAGGATTACAATTAGGTTATGGTTAGGTTAGGGTAAGAAGCTACCGAAAACATTATGTCAATGAAGGTCCTCACTAAGAGGCTTGTGTGTGTGTGTGTGTGTGTGTGTGTGTGTGTGTGTGTGTGTGTGTGTGTGTGTGTGTCTGCACTACAGTTTTTTACAGACGCTAGGACACATGTCTCAATACTTAGGTCACGAGACATCAAATATTTGCAGTTTCATAAAACATTTATAAATCAGCATTCATCATTTAGAAAAGAGTGAGGTGTTATTTCTAAGTTAACATGCTGTAACAGATAGTTTCCATGAACCGCTTGATATCTTTTTCTATTGAATGTAACAATATGCACACATCAGTCTAATGTTAATGAACACCCTATTAGACTGTGTGTGTGTGTGTGTGTGTGTGTGTGTGTGTGTGTGTGTGTGTGTGTGTGTGTGTGTGTGTGTGTGTGTGTGTGTGTGTGTGTGTGTGTGTGTGTGTGCTGCTGAGATCAGCTGGCTAATGCTCTGTGCTGTCAGCAGAACTGTTTTTGTTTAATGATGAGTGTGCACGATGACTCCTGTGCCACGGTCCATCTCAGTGCAGCTCTTTGGTCAAGCATTTTCCTTTGTCATGCTTTTCCATGTGACTTTAACTGGTCTGATTTCCTTTTTCTAGGACACACTGTTAAATCCAAAAATCCAAAAATTGTTGGGTTTCCTGGGTGTAGCCAGCGGGGTCCATGGTAGCCATGGCAGCAATAACAATGCCCGAACAACTACCTCAGCCAAGTATCTGCCAAATGTGTGTGTGTGAGCTTCCTGCTGCAAACTGGATACAGTTACAACATTATATCCTTGGAGATAAATCTGTGCATGTGCACTTCATGACACTATTGTTGCGTCGTAGTTTGCGATGACAACAAAAATCATTCTGGAAGCAAAGATTTCCAGTTTCACCACCAAAGTGCTGAATTGAAGTTGTGTTTCCATGGTAACAGGGACGAGGCTGACTGGAACTATAATGTTTCCAGATAAAAGCAAAACAATGTTTACTAGTCAGGAGCCGTAATTTGTGTGTGTGTGTGGTGGGGGGCGGGGTAGGAGCACCATGGAAGCTTTCCACTCTCACACAGCAACCACTCATCAGGCTGATGCAGAGCGAGAGGAATCCGGCAATAACACACCCTTCTCTGTTTCTGTTTTCCTGTTTAAACTCTAACCACCGAGAGTTCCCCTACTGCTGTGGAAAAGCATGTGTGTGTGTGTACCTGTGTGAGCAGCATGCATACTCTACTGTACTAAGCTCTAGGAGTCC